AATTGTTAAAGTTCAATTTTGTTTACGTTTGAATCGTTAAGAGTGCGCCAAGTAGCTTAGGTGTTTGGCTTGGTAACACATTTTATTCTTTAGAAATAACAAAAAAGGATCTCTTTATTGTTGATCACGTTTGAGTATAAGTAGATAGCAAAACTTACTTCGGTCGGTGATAAAGTTGTAAACAAAATGGAATAGAACAAAACAACGCTAACTCACGTCAGCTTACACGAATACGCGTCGCATTTACAAAGGAAAATCATGAACTATATGAGTATTATCTACTGTACGGAGCGGTGTAACATTCCTAAGCTTTATCACTACTATTCACAACATACTCGGCACCATTCACACGAGTCACTACAGACGTCTTATTACTGTCTTCAAAATTTCAAGTAATTCCGAGGGTCGGGTACAAATAAATTGCGTCGACAATGCCTTTGTTCCTGAAGGGATTAGATTACGATGATTGCCAACTGAGTTTCTAGTTACCGCCCTGTTACTAACTAGCTGTGTAACGTGATTATTTACAAAATAATGAGTTTTCGCGCGTAATTGATGTTTGACAGGTAGCCATCTTGTTTTTTTGTGTTTATAAAAATTTGACTGATATGAGGCTATGTTTAATGAGTCTATTATGATATGATTGTTCATTGTGATTGGATCTTAAGGACTATTTTCTTTTAGAAATATGATTTATCTCTTTCGTAAAGTATACAATATTTACCACACAGTCACAACAAAACATACTCAACAAAAACATTAATATCAAGTTATGTGGTATCAGAGAGTTTCACGTTTCCATGTCACAGGCATATTAACATATTTACCTTCGCATTTATGAAATTATTTAAAAAAATTCCCTCCGCCGCTGACATTTATATTGGCGGGAGTGTACTTAGCACCACTCTGTCAGTTGCCAACCCCAACAAACTTGGCAATTGAATAATAAAATGCGTAATACAATATACGGCGGAGCGTAAAAAGTGAATTTGGCGCTCCGTATACGAAAATGTAAAGCGGGTCGATGGTACACCGTGTTGATATTTCTTTCCTTAAAATGTTACGTGCAAAATGTGTAGGTGATTTTTGTGGCCGCATGTTTCGATAAATAAATACAATAACAAATGGGATACAACAGGATATCATTTTACTATAATCAGTGAAGATAAAAGAAAGATAAATTTATGATTCTGACCAATTTTATACGAACAAAAAATCCTTAAATTTTACGAGACTGTACACAAAATCAAGAGACCCCAAGGCTTAACAATGGCGCTTTCAATCACTTACCAAGAATTAATTTAAATTAATCACCATTCAAGACCTAAATACAAAACTATCTAAGATTCATAAATCAGAAACTAAACTCTTTCGAATCTGCGACGCCACAAGATAGTTACGACGTAATATTCAAAAAGTCATAAGTACAGATAAGGTCTCTTTATAATTCAGGCACTATTCATTCAATACGGGTGTGAGGTAAACCACGGCAAGTTTACGACGCAGGCTGGAAGCGTTAAGCCCCGAATGGATTAGCCCCCGACACAACATACGGTACACAGAAAATTCACTACGAACTTCAAGATAATCTTTGACGTGATCTAGAAGTGACATAAATAGATGAATCAGAGGTCAGCTTGTGGTAGTTCATTGACCTCTTGCTAGTAAGGATTTAGTTATATTTTGAATGTGGATAACTCTGTGACTAATAGGTAGAGAACCTTTTTGATTTTTTGAAAGAAATCACCCTGTATAATAAGACCGTCCATTGTACACTCTATAGTTATAATCCTTTTCTTTGTAGACTATGTAACAATGTGTAGAATAAAGTATATATTATGTATTGATAGGTATAAAATCCTACTAAGCGAGGGCGGGCAACACTAGTCCTACGCTTTAGGTCGGAGCCGTCAAAGAGAGCTGTTTCGCGCGCTTTTCTACAGCAAAGCCGATTTCTTAAATTATGTCTATTTTTTTAATATCATTGTGTTTTCATGTTAAAACTATATAGAAATAAATTGACTTTAAGCCAATTAAATAGACTAGGTAAAAGCTTAAATATTGTATGCATATATAAAAGTTTACCAAGGCATCAATATTTTTGTGAGTAATAAAGTATCAAGATGCAAACACTGTGATGTACCGCGATCAGACTCGGATCAGGAGAAGCGTTTCCTCATATTCGAGGCGGTTGAAGTCATTGAATGATTAACGTACCTCTAAAAAAAGAGTAGAAACATTATATTCAATTAAAAAGAAGTACAACAAATTCTTTAAACATGCTCTCGTTGAATGTAAACTAGTGAACCTTTTGCCAATATCTGTCCTCTGGTAGTTCTCTAACCGCACGTCGGGTGCCACATAGAAAGATTTTGCTTCCTTACGTACTAGTTTCAAGCCCAAACTACAGATTTAAGTGTTTGCTTAAAAACTTTTTGCTAAAGTACTTACTATCTATTTCTATGTATATTGAAACATTGTGGTCTGTTGAATTCACTAATTAGATTTGTTAGGTTGGTAACGTGATTGCTGCTTTGTTCCATTTGATGATTTGTAATCATTTTAATGGATATTATTGGCTGTAATAAGTATATATACGGTATTCATTTATTAATACATATGTTTATGTAGGTACACTATATGGCATACAGACAAATAGAATGAAATAACCTGCGGTATATTAATACAATTTACGTACTTTTTATAAACTTTAATACGTCATTAAGTTGATAGTTGATACACACTTTTTTGAAGGGAGAAACCATTCAATGACATCCGAACAATGTGATACATGCCTTACTTGCTTTTGAGAATACTTTTGTTGATTGTATATTTTATAAAATGTATCTAAAGTTAAAAAAAAAATCGTTGCCCCACACTAGGATTTGGTCCTGTTTCGTGGCTGCGTTTACAAACATACAATTTCAAATACACAGTACACCTAGACATGGAAAAACAATTTGTGGATCACACAAAGAGTTGTTCCGTGCCCCATAATTGTGTTCCTCCATTAAAATAGTTAGTAAAAGAATCAAACAATAATAGTTGATAGAATATTAAATAATTATCTTTACATACATAATTGAATTTGTTAATATTGTTAATTAATGTTAACTTTTCAATGAAATATGTATGTGAAATATTTAATTAAATGTTTAATTATATTCTGCTCTTTATTTCACTGTGGACGACTGATTTATTTTATTGCACCAATTGTGTTGTGAATAATGAGACAACATGGAATGTGTACACGTCATTACAATATCGATATAGTTTTAATTTTCTTGAAACTATTTTCATTTAGTAGAAAACTCGTGGTTACTCTTAAATTGGGATACCATTTCGTTTTAATCGAATAATTCTAGAAAAGATGAAAAAGCTACTAAATTTAGGAGCAGAAATTGATTTCCTAAATAAAATTAGTCCCTTGAAGTAAATCGTAGACGCTTTTAGTTCACTGACGACAAGAAAAGGGATTGCTTGAACCGAAGCAAATCCGTCCAAGGAAAGTTATGTGAGACCGAACAAGATATATACTGGTCAAAAAACTATTAGACTGTACTGAAATCCTCCCGAGACCTGTACATACCAAAGAAAAATAAATTACCTGATTTTGCGCGCAACGAAGCACTTACATCTATCCTTTTCTAACGCACTAATCCGGGCGTACCAGCGGGTTATACTTGTCACACTCTAGCTTTCATACATCACGTATAAGAGCATTGTAAGCCCCTAAAATGAGTGTTTATTGCTGATCCTTCGAGCCGGACTCTTGTGAGCATCTTCAGTGTTACTAAAAATGGACTTTATGTCTTTGTCGTTAGGGTCATTTTGTGGTGTTTCAGGGTTCAGGTGCGTACACAGGCTTATCCAGTCGTTATTCTCGTGGCAGATGTACGTAGTTCTTGTCCGGTGAACTATGGGGATTTGTGCGAGTTTGTTGTGAAAAATTGTGGTGTGTTTTGCTCTTAATTCTTTTCGCCTTTGTAAGTTATTGCTTAGTTTTGTCACAGAGTCTGTTGTTAGTCAATGTATTTATTATGGTCCTTGAATGTATTGCAATTGTTTTCTTCGTTAGTTTCCTTATATTAGTTGAGATCTATATGAGACACAGGATTATTTGTTCTCATAAGTAGAACTTCCTCATGTGTTTCAAATTGTATTATCGGAAGTTGTAGTGTCGTATATTGGTCGGCAATAAGAAGTATCTTTGGGACTCCGAGACGACTGTAGTACGAAGTGTTGATGTTTTCTTGATAAATATTTATAGCAGACATGTCTTGAATAAGTTTGCGAGGGACATTTCTATAAACATGTTTGTATTCCAGTTAGGGATGATTCACAACTGTTATTGGACTTAGGTTTCAGTATTTTCATGAAAGTATTGGTAATTGAAAACGAAATCTAAAACGAAGAAGTAAAGTTGAAATTACGGTAACGACACACCTCAGCTCTCATCAATAGATTTTATCCTTTAGCGTCTTTTATTGTAAAACTGAAACCTTACAAAGTATTCTTGTTTTCCTTTCTGTTTTCATCGCATTTCTGTAAACATTCCAATTTGGAAATTTTATCCTGACTTTATTAAATTATGAGTTTATTTATTAAATATCTATTCATTCTTGTAAAACATTAATAATTTATAGCATTTTGTACCTTATTTATGTTCATTTTCTGCTTATTTCTCATTTTAATTTAATTCTTTATTATGTTACGTCATCATCTTTTTCATTTTAATTATCATCAACGCCTTTATCGGTAATTTAATATTTCTTATTTTTTTCTTTCCATTCTCTCCAATTAAAATTCATATTCCCACAAACTCCATTTTCTTTTACAGCTTTCATTTAATTCATTTATTATAAACTCGTTTCAATTAAGTATACTTTTAATATATTTTTTATTTATCGACTCCATTTTTTTAAATTTCTCAAACCTTTCAAATTCGTTCAATCTTCAGCTCTATTGTAAAAATCTCAATTATAAACCTTACTCATGAAATGTATGGTTTAAAATTCACAGTATCGGAGCAAGGCCCCCACGAGAAGCGGCTGTTGAACGCTTTGCTAGCAAACTACAACACGCTGGAACGACCAGTCGCGAATGAGAGTGAACCGCTGGAAGTCAGGTTCGGCCTTACGCTGCAGCAGATCATTGATGTGGTGAGTCCATTTAAGATATGAGAGCTTCTGCTGTGTTGAGGAGTAGCTTCTAAAATAATGTGATTTTAGGATAAAAGGATAATTCTCTTGTATGAAGTGGGTCATATATTTCAAGAGTAGATTAATTTTAGGTCTGTTTTCTGGGTTTTTACAATTTTATACACATACTTTCAGGCCCATAATGACAGTTTATGACTCACACAAATGTGCAGTCATCTAAAAGTTTGTGGTTAAATAAAATCATTTTTATGTTTTACAAGTACCACTATTGTCTTTTGTAAAGATATATGGTATAATATGAGTAAAAGGCTTAATATACATAGGTAGTTGTTGCCCAACTAACTTTATATAAGTTGATAAAATTAAAAGATACATTGAAGAATCCTTGTGAAAACAAGCTAAGGAAAAATTTTACTTACATAGATAGATAGCAAGCCTTAAATAAATGCAGAGGCATGAAGATTCTTTGAAGTAAAACCAAAGTCGATAGTCCACTTAGTTTTTATATAGAACCGATATTTTTCTCTGAAATAAGGCTTTTATGCGGGGATTAAAGTGTCGAAGGGATTTCCATCGGGCGCGTCGGACGGGTGGTGACAGTCTGCGGTTACCGGTTCGATTAGCGACGTAATGGGTAACCGTGTCACAAACTGATGCTTCAGAACCATCACCTTTGTGCTTTTTATTGATGTTTTTTAATAAAAGTCGTGGAGAAAACAGTAAAACTGGATTGATCTGAGATGAGGTTTTGTCTCTTATAAGTCTGTAATTGTATTTTCGTAAAACATCAGTTGATGTAATAACAAAGATATTTTTGGAATAACTATAAATTAAAGGTCTATATAAGCCCACGACTTTGGAAAAATATCATAAACTTATATGAAAGGAAGTGTTGACTCGAACACGTGCGGAAGGGATGTTTGAATAGGCACGATCTTCTTTGTATGTTTAGACTTCGTGCAAATATTAAATTGAGTTAGAAACTTCATAAGTTTCATCCTTTCCTCAACACAGCGGAAGCTTACATAATTAATGTTACCTAAATCCCTATTTTTAGTAATATTCACTTTATTTATAAGCTGGAGAAGCCATTTACAGCCGGCCTTTGTTCACCATATAGTCTCAAAAAGCATGTTTCGAAACATGTCGAGCAAAAAATCGTTGAAAAAACATTTGTAAGTAAAATATTCCAGTGAATAAAGAAGCCATGTTACCGTCTACGATAACAATACAAAGCGAACCGCCGCTATTTGTGTAAATTCAAAGTTTTCAGAAGCATAATATTATAATACATTTGCAAATTTTAGATAAATAACAATATTTCCCATTGTTTCAATATGCTGAATTTTGAGTGGGCTGAATATTATTATAATGAATTTGTTAAGTTAAACTTATCTTGTCGGGGATTTAAGTTCAGTTAATTTCTGTTTTTCAATATACATTTTTGAAAAACTCTCAAAGTGACCAGTTTATACGGGATTTTAAGTTTGTATAGAAACATAAAACAGATTATTTCAATATCCGTAATCGCTTTTTTGGGAATGTTCGTAATTCGTTTATATTGATAAACTGTATCAATTCAGTAGTTTCTTTTGAAAAGTATATTAAAAATCCAAGACATGTTGGTAATCCATGTATTAGTGACATATTTTAGGACTTCCCTAGACATTCTTAAGACCTTAATACAAAAAGTTTCCTTCACCGGCCATACCGATTAGTGCTGAAGCGGCTAATAACGGCTAAGTGTAGTGGCTCTATGATGACGTCACAAACACTAATGCCCTATTATCTTATTAGTAAGGGGACCATGTAATCGGATACTTGTTTAAGGTCAATTTCTAAAGCTAATTATCAATAACGACCGACCAATATCACCATTATCTTAATGTAGGGAAGCACTTATATTTTACGCGAAGGCAAAATTTCAGTGTTGTTACAATGTCAGGTAGTTTATCAAGAAATTGTTCTAATAAAACATTATATGCTATTAAAGTAGATTGGTTAAGGTGGGGTCGTTTGTTTAAGGAATTACGTTGTTGTTCAGGTTTACTTTGTATGGATGGTCGTAATTGACGTACGAATTAATTTATTAAAAATATTGAAGGTAATGTTATGTAGTCAGCCGCGGTTGCAGGTTAAGCGTAATAAGGTATCGCGTCCTCTGACTAGAGCAGTAGAAAGAGTCGGGTGGTTTTTTGTCAGTAAAAGTCTTACACTACCTCTCGCCTAGAAATCATTCGATGATTTCCATCTAAAAAAACAAAGGTAGATAGACCACTTATATTTTATCAAAGACATCAGAAATATTAAACTGTTTAGTAATATACAAAGTATTGCAGTAGTAGTGATTAAGCTTCGTCTAAAACTCAAAAAGATACATACAATTGGGTAGTTACCTAGGTCAAACAAATAAAAAATAAAAATTAATTCGACGTTTCAATACAATAAAATATTGAAAAATAACTTTACTTTTATTCATCGATCGATCGATCGATACACTAGGTTTTAGATATTTTGAAGCTAATTATTAAGAAATAAGTCCTCAGTTTTTCATACAAACATACAAAAATATCGTTTTTGAGATTTGGATAAAAGAATTGAATTTGACTAGTTGGAAACTACCGTATTCTCCAATGAACCGGATTGAAAATACACAGCATAAAGTTCAAAGTACTATTTTACAATGCTGGTTCATTGAAAATAGGTACACAGCATACAACTCTTACATTAGATTTTTGCCTTTGTCAATCCTAAACCAAACAGTGACATGTAGAACTTATAGGTACTTACAACCTTTTAAATCTTTCACCTCAAACAAAAATGAACTTTTGAAAATTCTATTCTAGTTTGACCTCTTCTGCTTCAAATTTTTTTTCTGGCCGCCATATTTGTTTTACCCGGTATTTAAACCTGGACTCAAAAACTTTGATCCGCGCATCAAAGCTTCCGATGTTTCAATGCACTTTTTTCATCGAGTTCGTTTTTTTTATCGGAAAGAGAATACGTAAAGAAAAATACTCGGATTTTATCATACGCGTGTTTGCTTTTAGAGTTTTGAATAGCAAAATAGGCGTTGAATATTTATGTTTGCGAACGGGTAAGGGTGAAAATGTTCGTAAATATCTAGTTTCTTTTCTCCTTTTACCTTATTTGAAGTGTTACATTTATATGGTTACGAATTATTTAATTAAACTATGTAATGTCGAGAAAATACGACAGGAATATGAGAGGAATTTTAAGCGTGGGAGAGCCATGCTTCGGCACGAACGGGTCGGCTTAATCTGAGTGATACCACGGCCTCACAGAAAACCGGCGTGAATGAACCACCGGAGGCCCAATCCTTCCCCTTCCTCGGATTGGGGGATCTCCAAATACCTAATCCCCAAAGAGTCTGCAACGCACTCCTCAGTTGTCAGTGTCCATTAGTGGCCACCATCAGGCAATTCGTCACCTCATTTACCTACCTATCACATAAAAAAAAAACTAATGAACAAAAACACGATTCCTTTTTTTTGTTCGTAACCTTATTATGATTACTGCTTTGTTGTTGTAGTTTTAATTGTGTGGGGTTTTTTTTATTTAGTTTCAAATTTGAAAAAGGTTTATTGACCTTTTCGGTTTCAGACACTAAACTTATCAGCAATCTCAGTGCCTGGCTTAAGTAGTAGTATTGATCTCTAAAATGTAGGTATATAAAACTTCCCGGTGAAAAGTTCGTGTTAAAATCGATTTATATACCTACTCTTTCTTCGTGCAAAAAGAAGCGTTATCTAACTAATATTATAAATGCGAAAGTTACGATGTTTGGATGTTTGTTACTCAATCACGCCAAAACGGCTGGACGGATTTGAACAAAATTTGGCACAGGCATAGGATACACTCCGGAATAGGACATATGTATGTTAAGCTACATTTTATCAACAAACCACGGCGGAGTCGCGGGCGGAAGCTTGTTTTTATTATATGAATGTACTTTTTCACATAGTTAATGGCTGAGTTCCGTATTATATCTCTTCTGTTTACTTAAAGAAGATTATAGTCTAGAGAAAGTTTATTTCAAGTATAAAGCCAGGCTGTTTATGTGAGCTGCTTAGAACAACCTCAGTTGATTAACCTACCTTCGAGGCAAACAAAGTTATAACCGACCTCTTTGCCTCACAAACTGATAATGTTTCTTTGTTTTATTACGCAACGAATAAAAGGTAGGATTGTTAATCTAGTTACATTCATTTGTGTACTTTATTTTCTTTGTGGTAAGGTTTGCTTTCGTTTTTCTGAGGTTTAAGTATAAGGGTCATTGTACTTTGTAACTTCTTTTATTTATTGCAAAGGTATAGCGTTTTGACTATTGTTTGGTAGACTCTTAGTAGTACGACGGAATCAGTAAATACGAATATACGTAATAAGAATAATAAACTTTATTGTAGTATACTTAAAATACAATTTAGATAGAAGGTAGTCCTAATAAGCACTAATTCTTATTCATTACTTATATTTTTTTACTGGTCGATTAAAATAAGAGAGTATTTTTTTTGTATTACATTATTACAGATACACATTTATATAAAATCTGCTTAACGTTATATTCATATGGTTAATATAATGGCCATAATTCGAATATTACATTCATGAATGCGTATAAATTATAATAAATTAATATTAATCTGGAATGTTCGGTTTTCAGCAACATCCACTTCATTTCATAATAATGATGAAAATTCATGATATATATATAAATAAATACAATAAATTATTTGTAACATAAATAATAGTGTTATTCATTTGTCTCAAACAATGATAACATAGTTAGGACCAATATTTTATTTTGCTCGCGACTTTGTTCGCGTGGAATAGTAACTTCCCGCAGTTTTTTGTTTTAAAAACTATCCTACGAGTATGTCCTTTCTTGAGGTCCAAACTATGTCTGTACCAAATTTTACACAAATAGGTTCAGTAGTTTAGGCGTGAAGAAAAGACAGACCGGCGACAGACAAAGTTAC